CGGGGACAAGCACCAATGCTTCATCCTAACAGTTCAAACATGATCAAGTGTGATCCTCTCCGCGGTAGTGACCGCAAGGCTAAGAACACCCATTGCTATAGTATATCCTACAGTTGTTAGTATTGTATGCATAATTCTTCATGAAAACTACCTGTCCATGATCACTTACCCCTTTAAGCTACCAGCATCTGATCCCAAGTATGAAATCCCAAACTGCAGCTAGTGGTCCCGGTTCGATGGGTGAGATAGCAACAAGATCCTGGACCAATAATGATACAATAACTATGAACCTGTTCCATGGCATCCAAGAGAGGTGAGAATAAACAGACAACAAAAATGCATGAATGCTAATGTCTTAAGCTAAATGTTATGCAAAAATAAAAAGTAGAAAAGAAGAAAATAAAATCTTTTTAAAATTTAATAAAATAAAAAAAATGAATGCAAATTAACTTAAACTAATATGTTATGCAACCTAACTAAAAATGCATGAAAAAGAGTAAGAAAAAAAGGGAAATGCCCCACCCCAAGCTTAAGAACAAGCATTGTCCTCAATGCTTAAGGAAAGGGCAGAAAGGACCTAGATCGGAGGGTCGGGCGGCGGGAAATGCCCGTGGCGATAGTGGTAGTCCCACATATCCTGGAGCTGGCTGGAAGTGTGGAGGAGGACTGCTCCAATCGATCAACACGGTTGCCACATCTAGGATGGCTCTCGAATTCTCTTGCGTTTGGGCGTCGATACGCTGCACCGTGGAGAACATTGTGGCAAATTGGTCAAAGAACGTGGGGGGGAAATATGGTGGGACTTCATGTCCCTCCTGCTGATGCGGCTGGTCAAAATGATGTGGAGGGGCCTGGAACTGATCGTGCTGAAACATCGGCTGTTGCATCGAGGGTTGGTCAAAATGGTCTTCAGCTTCGGGCATCTCGTCGTCCTCTTCGTCATCTTCTTCCTCTTGTTCCTCTGCGTCGTCACCCTCATCATCACCGAATTCTGGGAATACACCTGCTTGGGTCAATTGATCTGGAGGAAGCCAAGTGTCGGGGTCGCCTGTATCGAATGAAGAACCGATCCAACTTGGCAGGATGTAAACCGGGGCTTTGTCAGCGTCTAACCAACTGTACGTGCGGGTTCCCCGATCGAGCAACATCTCCATCCGGATGAGAGTGTCACAATCTAGCAGGAAGTTCGGTGGGGTGTCGACAGGTATGTACTCGGGATCCGGAAGTCTAGGCCGACGGCTCGACCTATGATCGTGATAAGTCCCCCGATGAAAATTTCCCCTGAGGAACGTTGGCGTATGGAGTCACATTTGTCTAAAAAGAAGCCTGAAAAACTGAGGGAGAGTGCATGCCTCATGCTTCGGAGGAAAAATAGCTCACATCTGTTGATTTGACCGGGCTCGAGACGCCCGAAGATACTCGTCGTAAGGACTCGGTGAGCAATTCGCCAACATGGGTGAACGATGTGCTTGGCTCGCTGTCGGCTTGGGTTGAAGGTTGGGAGACCGGAAATTTGCATCCAGAAGTTTGCATCAGGGCAACGCAGAAAATCTTGGTACTCTTGACTTTGGGGGCTGATGCGGAACGGATCGTCTATACCCATGATAGAATCAAGCTCTGCGTATGTGAGTCTATGATGTTCCCCTTTCAACTGGAATGTGAGGACTTCTGTGTCATCATCTCGTGCATAGGTGCTAAGAAATTCCATTGTGGGTTCCTCGTAAGTTCTGTCACAAAGTCGAAGAAAACCACGCCAACCGAGTTTTATGAACAAATGGTATACACCATCATGCACCCCAAGCTTTTTCATGGACTTTTTGTGGTAGAATTTTGTCGGCCGGATTGCGCGACCCCGAAGATTGGAGCGATAGGTTTTGATCTCAGCATTTGTAAGGGAAGGATCGCTTCCCTCTTCTCCTCTTTTTTTTCGTTTACCGGCTGCTTGGCGTGATGGACCGGCGGTATCTTTTTGAGGGTTAGGATCGATCGATGATCCATGGGTGCGTGTCCGAGCCGTGGTTTTGCCCATTTTCGAAACCTACAATATCAAAAACAACTTCACCAACGTAATCCCTCACCTCACCACTCTCAAATCAATGCAACTATCTTTAGACCGAACACGAAAAAAAAATCCAAGAAATAATGACACCCAACTTTTGACAATGTAAAATGGTTTCAACAACAACACTCGGTTAATTTGGTAGTCCCAACAAAAATTCGGCAGCAATACGAGACAAAATGAGAAAATCCCAACCAAAGTTTAAACAATTTTTGAACAAATTTCCAAACAAATTAACCAATCTCAACCTTTCTCAAATCAATGTTTCCAAATAAACCGGGCAACAACTAACGATCTTAGGCAATTTCCAAAGCATAATTGAATGCAATTACTGAATTGAAACAATGCAATGTAATAAAAACCAAGGAAAGAGAATACCCGTTTTATCCCAAAATTGAACTTGAACCCGGAATCCGCTACCGTGCACCCCAAGCTTTGGTTATTCGTGGGTGCCTAAATGCAAGACTTGCTCATTGAAGGGATATTTTCAACTTGGTTTTGTGAAAAATCCGGCGGCGGCTCGTGGTGGCTCAAAAATTATGGGAAAATTTTTTTTGTGAGATTTTGAGGTTTTGTTTGGTTAGATGTAAAGATCTCCGAAAAAGAAACACTTTGGTGGTGTCGGAATTGCGAGAGGTGGTGGGAGTTGGCCGGAAAATGGCCGGAAAGTCGCGAGATGGGTGGTGGTGGCGCCCCTAGATCCGGCGATGGCTCGTGGTAAACTTTAGGTGGGGTTTGTAGAGCACGGAAAATGGTGAAGAATGGTGGTGGTCTCGTCGTATTCCGACCGGTGGAACTCCGGGAAATCAAATTTTTGTGAAAAGTGGGTGTATGTGTTCTTGAGAGTTTGAGAGAGAATAGAGGGTTTTGAGAGAATGAAATGAAGAAGAAGAGTTGCTGGAGGTTTTTAATCCATATACAAGTGTGGTCAACACCCGGTCAATGTTAGTCAACTCATTAAACCACCTGGTCAACGAAAGTCAAAGCTGGTCAACAAATAGGGGATATTCGTCAGACAGCACGCGGGTCGCGCAGAGGGGCGCGCGGGCGCGCACATGTTGCAGTTTGGATTTGATTTGTTGCATGCTGAAGACCGGCCGCGCACACCAGCCGCGCACCACTGCGCGGGTCGCGCAGGCTCCTGCTCCCGAAATTCGATTTTTCTCTGTTTTCTTCCGTTTCTTCACTAGTTCTTGATCCCAAATGCCCCAAACACCTAGAAACTCTTGATTTCTTCAAAAATGACTTCAAAAGACGTATCAAAACATTTTCAAAACTCCTTTATTCGAACGTAGAAACACGAAAGCATAAAGCTTTTCCAAAAATGCCTCTCTTTAACGTCTTAGGCGAGACGTCCTTCTAGCTTGGTTCAACACTCCGGGACATCCAAGTGGATGACTTCAATAACACTTGCATTAAAACTTTCATAGAATGGCTTTAATCGGTGCCCGTTAACTTTGAAAATATGTCCCGTTTCTTCACTTTGGATTTCCACCGCTCCATGATCAAAAGTCTTTATTACAACAAATGGGCCAATCCACCTTGATCTTAATTTGCCCGGGAATAACTTCAACCGTGAATGGTAAAGTAAGACCCTATGTCCCGGTTCAAAATTCTTCCGGGTGATGGACTTGTCGTGGAAGAGCTTCGTTTTCTCCTTATAAATCCTTGCGTTTTCATAGGATTCGTCTCAATTCTTCTAGCTCTTGGAGTTGAAGTTTCCTATGCCTTCCAGCCTCGTCAATGTCGAAGTTGCATTTCTTGACCGCCCAAAATGCTCGGTGCTCTAACTCGACGGGAAGATGACAAGGTTTTCCGAAAACTAATCTGAAGGGCGACATTCCAATCGGGGTCTTATAAGCGGTCCGATATGCCCATAAGGCATCGTCAAGTCTCAAACTCCAATCCTTCTTTGTCGGATTCACCGTTTTCTCTAGAATAGACTTCACTTCACGATTCGACACCTCCGCTTGACCATTCGTTTGAGGGTGATAGGCAGTGGAGACACGATGAGTCACGTGATACTTCTTAATAGAGCCTCCATCATTTTGTTGCAAAAGTGCGTCCCTCTATCACTAATCAAAGCCCTAGGCACACCAAATCTCGCAAAAACATTAGACTTTAAAAACTCGATAACCGTTTTGGCATCGTCCGATCTTGTGGCTTTGGCTTCAACCCATTTAGAAACATAGTCAACCGCGAGTAAAATATAAACGTTGCCAAATGACACGGGAAATGGGCCCATAAAATCAATCCCCCATACGTCAAAAATTTCACAAACAAGATTGGATTTTGG